AGAGTAAAGTGCGTTTCTCGTTCTAAGAGAAGGATCGATGACCGATCGAACGTAAGTAAGGACTAATCGATAGTGAATCGCGACTGGCGCGACTCGGCGAACTTACAATTTGTTTGTCGAACTCTGGAGCAAGATGCTGTTCAAAGGCAACAGTTCGCGGTTGGAGCTGCTGATAGGCAAGATACAGGCGCACAAGGAACCGTCGCAGGACGAGCAACACAAGTCCAAAGGTCCAAAGATAACTTTACTCTCTCTCTCTCTCTCTCTCTCTCTCTCTCTCTCTCTCTCTCCCCCTCCCGTTTCAGCCTGATTTTCATTTATCCCAAGTCGCGACTTTTTTATTTTTTTACTACACTTTTCAACGTAAAGTTTGACGTCATATCGTCGCCTCTTCATCTCGTCCTTCGACTTTTTATTCACCCTCTTCGACACTATTAAACTTTGCTCAGATTCAGGTGAGAAATTCCCTGCCAGGTAGATTCGCCAGATATTGAAAGAAACGGAATTATTGGAATGCAAATTGGATATTTTGAACAGCATTCATTTGTAACAGCAGAATGCAACATAATTTTATACTTTGGAAAACAACAATCATAAAAATTACAAGTATTTTTGCCTGACTTGGTTGCAGTTCGCGTGCGGACCGTTTCCAAGAGAAATGTACAAACGAAAAATCATTAAAGTAATAAATTTATACCCGTTCTCATATCACTTGAAACGTAATCTCGACACGCAACGTACGTCCTTCCTTCTGACGTTTATTCCTGGCGCGTTGCCTCGGTCAAAAGTCACTAAGACTAATTACATATTATTCAGTAGACACGTGCCGAAATGTCACGCTGTCGGGGATACGCAGAATCTGATGGCTCGGTACGACACGCATTACACATTATTTATATTCTTATATGTCAACGAAATTAGCGTAAAATAAAATGAAATTAGAAGAATAGCGAGCAAATCGGATGAAATAAAATTACGATAAAATTATCTGTGACCTAAGTAATATAAACTTGAACGCGCGAATTGTCGAATCATCCGCACGATCGTTCGCACGTAATAAATCTCGCGATTTATTACGTGCGCGAACGATGCCAGCCGTTTGCTCAGGATGAATCGATCGAAAACCTTCTCGCGCATTTCTCCGGTGTTTCCCCTAAGAATTCTTCGAAGAATTTTCGGGCTCTCGCGCGCCAAGTCCTCAAAGGAGTCGCCGGTTGCCGGTGTAAATTGAGCCTAGCTTGAGTCAGCGTGAAATATTGTTACTCGCGCGACTCCATCCCTCTGACAAATGTTCATCCTTGCGCAATAATTATATCCCATCTATAGTCACCCCATCTATAGCGCGTGTGCATACACGCGGCGGCCATGCACGTTATACCTTTGCGCATGTCGCGATTGATGACGTTCGCCAAGGAACAAGTTGATACAAAATGGTCTTCTGACGAGCGCGCTATTAAACTCTGTCGTCGGCAACTGAGCGGCGATAATTTTGCCGCGTGATTGCGAGTAGACGCGGCACGAATATTCATCCGCGAGATCGCTGACCGGTGTCAAGCGCGCCAATGTCAATGCTCGAATCGGTCACGCGTGAAATCTGAGAGTTTCGCGATCGGCACAGTGGCAACCCGCGGCCAAGTTTACATCGAACGGCGAATGCGTCCGGGATTGGGATCTACACCCGGAGGAGGATAAACGCAATATCGATACGTCACATGTCGAATGTCGGCGACATGGAATGGTAACGTAACGTTACGTCGAAATTAGCGTAATGAGAGAGAGAGAGAGAGAGAGAGAGAGAGAGAGAGAGAGAGAGAGAGAGAGAGAGAGAGAAAGCGCTACTCAATTCGGATCGGTTGAGAAAGAGAGGGAAACGCGCGCGACTTCGCGCGCGCGCTGCGCTACGCCACTGGCGCGAAAATCCGCACGAGGCGTTGGGACGCGCGGCCCAACATAAGTCACAATTAACGAAAGCGTTAAGCGTCGGGGCCCCTATTAATAAGCGTCGTCGAAGAGTCCTATAAATAGTCGACGGAACGCGAGGCGACAACAGCAGCCGCGTCAGCGAGACGCGAAACGATGCGACGCGGCTTCGGCAGGTCGCGCGCGGACGCGGGCGCAGGAGGAGCGCCGCGCAGCGTCGCTAAATGCGCCTATTTTCGCCACGATGACACATCGCCGCGCCGCGGCCGATTGGACATGATCGCGAGCTAAATAAGAGTCCTCTCGATTCTCTGCCCCTCTTCCCCCCCCCCCTCCTCTCCCATTTCGAAGAAGAAGTCTTTCTTGGGCACCTCCCGCACCAACCACCCCTTGATTTCTCTCTTCTTCTCTCTTGGCACGAACGCACGAAAACGAACAATACGTATCATGATACCCGTGTGTCCGAGTCGATCAGACGAAAGATCAGAAGACGCGCCCTTTCGGGGTCTTATCTTTCGAGGGTCGAAGACGTCTTTCGTAGAAATCGCAAGTCAACAAATTGCAAGTATCTGGCTGACGAGATAATGTTAAACGCAAGTGTGCTATGGATCTGGAAGTTCTCCTGTTCCGTAGAAACTTGGCATCTCGGGATTTCCAGCGAAAAATTTCCGACCAACGTCCCGGCGAAGACTTCTCTTGATTGATCATCGTTGTGAAAATCATCGTTTGTTCATTTTTCCCAAGTCAGGCACATCGATAATTGAGTCTCGACGTGCATGCAAATCAATCGGAGGGTACACACGTGGGGTACACACGTTACCTTGTCTATTTATACCGTCGTAATTTAATTTGCCAAAAGGTCTAAGCGGAATGCACCCACCTGGGTGCTGCACGTGCGCCTCCTCTATCCCCTCCTCCTCGTCCAGTTCGGTTTATATTTATTGCCCGCGCGTCGATCTCGGTCGCGTTCCTCCACACCCACAGACAGAGCCTTTCTCCAATGTGGCTGTCAGCACCCCCGAAGAGACCCCGAAGAGATTAGAGCGCGTGAGTCAGTCGCGCGGTGCCAATTGGGCGATCGCTCCGAGATAGGTGCGCGCATATTGCGCAACTTGAGGAACTCAGGTCCGAGTGGCCCAAGTGTCCCTCGGGATGTCGACCACAAACGTCGTCGTATACCCGTGACTATCCTTCTATCCTCCCAACTTTTTCATCTCATCGAATCGTTCATAGATTTATTTACCCATTTTTTCGCTACCGCGAAAAATAAATTCTATGTCATTACAGTCGAGCGCGCGCGCTCGATACGTATAGTTTAATGTTGACTGTAGAGATTCGTGCGGCCGAATGACACGATGACAGTGTTATCCTTTTTGACCATGACGATGCCAGACACAAGGCATACTCGCAATCTCGTCGTCAAACTGCAAACTGCCTTTATTAAAGAAATTACGCTTACCTGAAAACTTGAAACTCCGAGTCGATTGCACGTGGCACGTGCTTCGACTCGGAACTAACGGTTAAATTTACACGCGTTAAGTATGGCGCTTGCATGTCCTTCTAGGAGAGGAAGAGAGATCAAGTCTTGAGGATGACTTGAGGCGTAGGTAGAGGATGCGAGCCATTTGCGCAGTAACCGAGACACCGAGACGCGATATGTCCGCGCGATCGCGCTCGTCGCTCGTCTCTCTGGGTGGCGTCTCTCTGTCTCTCGCGTGCGCGCGCGCGCGCGCGTAGACGGGATTCCGCAAAATCTCTTAAACCGACTCGTGGGTGTCGATCCATCGCCCGCGCCGGGGCCGACGACAAATGAGGAAACGGCCAACTAGCCGAGTCATTTCCACCGTTTACGAGTCGACGGCGACGCAACGGTCACTTCTCCTCTCTATCTCGAGTCGGTGGTGTGGGAGCTAGTCCTCAATTCCTGGCAATTATAAATTATTCATGCGGCCGGCGTGACTTCGCCGGAAGACACGCTCGCTCTCTCTCTCTCTCTCTCTCTCTCTCTCTCTCTCTCTCTCTCTCTCTCTCCCCCTCGAGGAGGATAGTTCGGTGATTTTCTGTCGGAGACGGAGACGCAGCCGCCCCTACTTGTGACCCTTTGCCCCAGACTCATTTGCTCATTTGCGCTTTGCGCCGAGCCGACCGAGGTCACCACTTCCGAATTGTTTCACGTGTCTTGAAGGTGTGTTATACCGTTACAATATGCAATTTCCGCCTAAGCACGGGGGAGGAAGTAACTTGAAGACGACTTTACTTGGGCTCATACGTTACGATCCGAGACACTCTCGTGCAAAACACCAAGCGCGCGCGCCGACATGCGGTGCGTTCTTGGCTGTGTCCTCAGGAATGAAACGCGCTGAGCCGCAAACTTGTTAATTCTAAGAAAGTCTAAGAAAATATATTAATCGTATCGATATTAAAAATTCATCTCTCTCTCTCTCTCTCTCTCTCTCTCTCTCTCTCTCTCTCTTCATGTATATATCTTATTGATCCATTTGATAAAAATTGCAATTTAACCTTTTGCTCTTCGGTCAACACGGTTTCTCGATCGACACGGTCGAATTTATGTAGGTAGGAATTCCGTAGGTAAAGATCTCACATCGCATCATCAAACGAACGCAAACATTCGGTCGGACTTGACGAAGGCTCGCTAGCCTGTGCTCTGCTGTGTCCTGCCGCGTGCAGGACGCGAAGCAAGGCTCGGGTTAATGGTACGGGTTTCACGGGTTTCACGGGGACTCGTGCTACAAGGAGGCGTACACGTACAAAGGCATAAGCGCGATAGAAGCCCGTAGTGTCGTTACGTTGCGTTACGTTACGTTACGTTGTTCGCGCGTACACGACACACGAGTTCGCGTAAGGTCGCGCCGTGAAGAACTGGCCGCGCTTGCGACACTCTCGAGCGAGCAATCCCCCGAAGATCTCGCCCGAGATAGTCCCGTGAGATGGTCTACCCGCTAGAATCATCGTGGAACGCACGACCGCCGATGAACGATGTCCGGTGCCAGTGTGTACACAGTCGAAGCGAAGTCGAAGTATTATATATACATTTATATACATTTCCGGTCTGCTTGCAGAAGCCTTGGGAACCGGAAGTTCATCGTGGCACAGCGAAGACGGTGGACCCAACTCGCGTCGCGGCGGCGGCGAAACGCCGTCCTCATGCGCGACGCCGACGTCGGCGAGTTTCCCGTCAGAACCTGAGGCCGACGCCGACATCGGCGGCGGCCACCCCGACGGCACTAACCCCGCTGCTCCTTACCCCTGCCAGTTTTGCGATCGAACGTTCCCTCGACTCAGCTATCTGAAGAAGCACGAACAGGTGAGAGCACCACGTAACAAGTCCATCCACGTTTTAACTATTTAACTATTTAACAACTATTTGCAGATTGTACACACCTACACGTACACACACATGTGTAATGTAATCATAAAAAAGTAAATACTTGACAATCAAGCGTGTATAAAACACACAGAGGGACAGAGAATTATTCGAGACGACAGACGACAGACGAGCGAAATAAAACTCAGAGCGAAAATCTCACAGTTTTCTTTACGCGGAGAAAGGGAAGAAGAAAGGGTCATTAATGAATGAACGCGAATAGAGTGAGAAGAGCATCACTCTAGAAGATGACTTTTGAACGTCTTGCTTAAGTCTTGATAAAGCGGAATGGGCTTGCTCTCGCCCGACACGCTATATAAATAATTATGCGAGAAGAGAGAAGCATTCGGTCGCGTGTAAAAGTAATCGTAGGCATCAGAGTATCTCTCTCGCGCGTCAATTTGCGCTAGCGGTTTCCGCGCGATCTGGCCCCCCCTCCCCCTCCCCCTAACCTAACCCAGCAGGTCAGTCGGACCTGAGAGAAGAGAAGAGAGAAGCTGCGCGACGCTAAAAGGATTCGCGTTCGTCACGGGCATTAGTATGCGCGACACGCAGCGCCCGCGTCGTCGAGTTCTCCTCTTTTCGCGCGGTGTGAAAAAAAGTTGGAGGTGTGATTCTGCGTGGTCCCGTACGGGCGGGTTAACGCAGCGGTTTCCACCTCAGGCTCAGGCTCAGGCTCAGGCAGGACCGAGTGGCCTGCCTGCGAGGGCAGACGCACGCGCGTGGCCGGTCTTTCCTCGGATTTCTTTTGTTTTGCATGGCGGTGGCATTAGCTCGTTTCTTCCGCGTCCGAGGCCGGCAATGCCGACGGGGGTCATCATCGGGTCAGAATCTGTAGCGTCGTGCCCATAACAGGTTGTACCGGTTATCAGGTTATTCGTCCAGGTGGCGGCCCGCCTTCGGCTGCTTGCTTCTTCCTCGCGTCAGCGGAGCCTGCTGAATGTACGTACGCGAGCGGAATCGCGCGCAGATATGACTCCGATAATCGAGACGCGCGCAAAAGTCCTTGCCTAGCAGCTAGCTGTCTGCTTCATAGCGACGCGCAATGCCGGCTCTCTCGTCCGACGAGAGAGAGAAAGGGGGGGGGGGAAGAGAGAGAGAGAGAGAGAGAGAGAGAGAGAAGACGTGGCGAGAGCAAAATTTCGATCCTCGCTGACTCGCTCGGTCATATTCAGCGAGTGTCAGCATGGACTCTCTCTCTCTCTCTCTCTCTCTCTCTCAGAAGAAGAAGAAGAAGAAGAAGAAGAAGAAGAAGAAGAAGAAGAAAAAGATGCTTGAAGCTACGAAATTATCAAGATGTGACGAAACGGATGGGCGAAAGACGGTCTAAAAATTTCGAAGTAACCGATTGAATTATTCTCGCTTTCGACACTCGACAATTCGTATTCGACATCGCGTAAGGACACACTTAATTTGCACTTTTGTTTAAAATTTGAAACGCGGTCTACGGATTCTCGATCCAGTCCATCCTTCAACTTTCAAGCTCAAGCTTCAAGCAATTGTCCGAGACAATGTCGTCGCTGCGACATCCCCATCCCTGCGTTTCGTTCGAGCCGCCGCGCCGTCCGCGCCGAGTACACCACGTCGCGCTATCGTCGACCCGTTCAACCGCCGTTCGCTGGAACGGTGGTCCTTCTGCTCCTCTTCCTCCACCACCTACTCCCCGACGGTCATCCGAGCGACAGACCAGACGATCACTTCGCCCATCGTCCAGATTGTCTCTTCAAAGGAGCCGACAACTCGAAAGTCGACCGCTCGGTCTTGTCGTACGTGCCGAGCTTACCTTGTCGCGCGCGCGCGCGCGGCACCGTTTCGTGGCCGACCACGGAGCGCTTTACGCGCAACAGAGCGCGCCACAAAGAAGGTGACTGTATGGGATCATATCGGTCAGCGTGATCTGGGTGGGTGACGCGTCTTCGCCACAGACGACAGAGAGAGAGAGAGAGAGAGAGAGAGAGAGAGAGAGAGAGAGAGAAAAAGACGTACCGTCGACGGTACTCTTCTTCTCCTTGCTACGAGCTGCTTCTTCTAGCATGAGTCCGCTCGAGCGCGCTATGGCTCCGCGTTAACTCGACGCTCTGAATTGAGACGTTAAGCTGGTGAATCGGCGCGGCGGTTGAATCGCGTCACGTACTCTTCTGGGATTTAAACGCATAGTCGGTGTCGGTCGGAAAATGCTCCAGAGGCACCTCTGATTTCATGAATGCGGTGGTCTCTGTAGATTGAAGGTAACAGGCGATACATGCTATAGTTTTCGAGACACGTTAGCGCAGCACTTGTGTGTGTATGTGTGAATACATTGACGGTACGTTACATCGAACAAATTTTATTACTGCTACTGCTAATACATTTCGTATATTACTGCGTCCCGCGCGCGCGCACGCGCATTCATACTTTTTTTAATGAGAAAATGCGATCGCGCGTGTAAAGATAATACTTTTCCTCAACCTCATTTTCATCGTTACTTTTCCACTTTTCATTAAGGACAAAATCGCGTAGGTAATCGCTGTGATATTGTAACTACAAAAGATAAACACGACGACCACATTGATTGCAGAGCCACGGCGATCAGATGCCGTATCGATGCAGTTGGTGCGCCAGGCTGTTCAAACACAAGCGCAGTCGAGATCGCCACGTGAAGCTGCACACCGGGGATAGACGATATCGCTGCTCGCATTGTGAGGCTGCCTTCTCCAGGAGGTAAGCGTGGAATCTTATCACCGCTACTCTCGCGGCACCTCATCATAGGCATGCAATCGGATATGTCTTTTTAGTTCTTAGAGATCAGCTAAATGTGCGAAAACGATGACTCACACACACACAGAGAGAGAGAGAGAGAGAGAGAGAGAGAGAGAGAGAGAGAGAGAGAGAGAGAGAGAGAGAGAGAGAGAGAGAGAGAGAGAGAGAGAGAGAGAGAGCGAGCATGCTCATGCGAAACTTTAGCAACCGCCCTTGCAAACCCCCAATTTATCGTGCTTGTTTATCGATGAGAAATTGATCTGTGAATTATCATGAAACACACACATATATATGAAAGGTATGAAACGATTGGATCAGGAATCTATAGTTAGGTTCGAGTTTGAGCCAAACAGATACACTTCAGGGACGGGAAGGAGGGCATAAATTGTGAAACACAAATTAAAGTCGTGAAACAATTGTTGCACGTCGCATGAGAAAATGACAACTGAAGAGATACAACTTTTTTCAATAAGGCACGGTAGAGAAAACGATCTTAATGAAGATGTTAATGAAATCAATTGTAAGCATCGATCACAGATTAAGGCAATACATAGTAAAATTGAAGATATATTGGGAGTACAAATTAGTTCGGTCCGTTTTTTTTGTGTTAAAAGATGTATTTATTTCAAAACAAAATGAATGAACAGATCAATTAAAGTATTTTCCATCGCTGGCTACTACTTTCTCCCATTTCTCAGGCAATTTTCGAATTCCATCTCGAAAAAATGACTCGTCTTTTGAGGCGATCCAAGTTTGGAGCCAATTTTCGATATCTGCGAAAGAAGCGAACCGGTGACCTGCCAAATCGTGCTGCATCCTTCGGAACAACCAGTAATCAGAAGGAGCAATGTCCGGAAAATACGGCGGGTGCGCCGTATTCATCCCATTTGAGCGTTTCCAAATATTTTTTTACGACTTTTGCGACATAAGGCCGAGCGTTGTCATGAAGAACGCCTTTCAACGTCTCTCGGACGTTTCAGTTCATAAGACACCCAATTTCCTTATTTTTNGGCTCGAATCGACGCGGCGGCAGCCATCGAAACGTGCAGTTAGAGTAGAGCGTGAAGAGCAGGTAGAGAGAGAGAGAGAGAGAGAGAGAGAGAGAGAGGAGGGGGAGGGGGTCGGGAAGCAGGGGAGGGGAGAGAGCGAGAGCAAGCGAGAGAGCTATAAGAGGATCTTTCAGCTACAACTTGGTAATTGAATCACGATATCTGAGTCGTGCATCAAAAAAGGATCGCGCAGAGGGATAATTCGGAATTTTGCCCTCTTCCGAGTATCGAGTATCGCGCCGTCGTCGCTCATTATCGCGGAAGGTGCACTTTCAAATTGGAGCAAAGTAACACCGCGAGTAGCAGCGCGCATTTGATGCGTAATTCATAGGTAGAGGTAGTCCGCCTCGCGAAGAGCTTTTTGAAACTACCCACTTAAAGGATAAATGCTTAATCGACTGTATCAAGGAGTCGCGCTCCCGACTGGATCGCAAATCAGTTGATAATTGAATCAGGAATGAAAATTTAAAAATGCGACTTAAATTATAAACTTCATCATCTGCGAGCCGAAGACGCGAGCGAATGCGCGCGTAAAGGGTGTTTCTTTTATGAAGCCGAGTAACGGTAAATTAAAGTCTAATAGAGCGAGAGGAAACTCGGCAGTAATTGAAGGCCCAACGCACAGGTCGCAACAAAGGAAAAGAATTTTATAAAAAGAAACCGGGATCCTCTTTCTCTCTCACACTCCCTCCCTTTTCTTTCTGTCAGGCTCGAAGGGCTTTCAATTGAAACCGTCTCAGTTAACAACAGAGAAAAGAATCTCGCAGACATACGCAAGACTAATCTTGCCGTTGCTCTCTGTCGCGTCCGTCCAATTAAATATTCCCTGCGCGCAAAGGTCACTGTCGCAAAATAACGACGTGAAAGAAAAAAACTTATCCTCTTCGATCTGTCGCGTTTCGTCGTACTCCTGAATTGACGGTGAAACTTTTCGCAAGCGCGCGCGCCTTGTATCGTATCGCTGAAAAGCAAGACAGAGACAGGAAGAAAGAGGAAGAGAGAGAGGGAGAGAGAGAGAGAGAGAGAGAGAGAGAGAGAGAGAGAGAGAGAGAGAGAGAGAGAGAGAGAGAGAGAGAGACAGAGAGAGAGAGAGAGAGAGAGAGAGAGAGAGACGTGTGAGTATAGTAAATCAGTTTCGCGACTGAGTTTATTTAACTTTTTGCCTCTTGCTGTATAATAATACTCGGATCATACACGCTATGTAGATCCGCGCGAAAATTTATTTCCATGTTTTCACAATCCAACTTTGCTCCGTTCTTCTTATTGCGCCGCGTTCTGCGGTATCGCTTTTCCACGTGTAGTCAAGCCACCGTGTCTCTCCTCTCTCTCTCTCTCTCCCTCTCTCTCTGTCCCTCTCTCTCTCTCTCTCTCTCTCCCTTCCGTTTCTTCTTTTCCGGCGCGTTCATGACGGCGCGAAAATACTCGCTCGTTGGTAACGTCATCGCGGTGTTTCGCCAACTCCAAAAATCGCGAACACTTGTGCCGTCCTACGAACGACGATCCACTCCACGTCAGTTCGGCCCGTCCACCGCGCATCGCCATCTCTCCCTTCCGCTTCTCACCGACCTTTTCATTTTTACGGCCACGCAACATATAGACGTTTTACGCGCCGCACACGTTTTCCACCTTACGACGCAGCGACACGCGTCGCGAACGGGCAGCTTTACGAGAGCGTATTTTCTTTTTGTTTCTTTCGAATGTTCTACAAACGTCGTAGCGCGCGCGCGCGCGCGCGCGAGAGCAGCACGGCCGACGGGGTAATGGAACCGGCCATAAGGGGGGGAGAGAGAGAGAGAGAGAGAGAGAGAGAGGAGCCCCGGCGAGAGAAAGAGGCTGCGACCGCAGTCACCGGCGGTATTCAGAACGGGGCAATAGCCCACAGACGGCAGCCAGCGCTTATTTTATGGGTAATGCATTCCGCCATCGTACATTTATTTTATTTCGCGATTTGCTACGGCTACGTATTACGCGCGCACGTCGCCGGACGTGCATGCATGTCGCTCGCGCAGGTAGCTGGGGCAGCCCCCCCGCTGCTGTTAAAGCACGCGGGATTTTGCCGGCCGCTCGTACAACGAGCCCGATATACGCATTCTTCTCGATACGCGTAAAAGACAGACGGAAGGACGTAGGAATCGCGATTTTAATTCCGTCGCGACGGCTGAACGATAACGCGTGGTCCCGCGTGATGTAACAGCGCGGAAGCTAATTACGCAATCTCCCCGTTGCGATGTTTCCGTTACCTCTCAGGAGAGCCGCGATAGAGCGAGCGACGAGATAACGACTTTACCCGCTGTTCTTTGTATTCCGCCTCGCGAGCGAGCGAGCGAACAAACGAGCGAGCGTTTACCCCGAAGAACGCGCCGTCGACCGGAATTATTGACCTCCGCTGTTCGTATTATACTTCGCAACTGTCGTGAGATCAAATTTAATTCCAACCTCGGTGAATGCCATTCGCTCGCTCGCTCGCTCTCATTCTCTATCTATCTATCTATCTTTATCTATCTCTATCTCTATCTCTCGTCCTCCCTGTCGACGGTGGCCGATTGAAATTACCGGAACGAACGACGTGTATCTCGAAGGAGGAAGAAGGAGCCGTGCGTTTCTCGTAGCGGGCCATTATCTGTGTACACACAGGCACATCCTCCTCCCTCTCTCTCTCTCTTTTTCCCTCTCGACGGGGGCACGGGTATTTTGTTTTGTCGGAGTAAACAGGAACGGCAATAATACCCGGTGTATCGCGAAGTATCGAACTATCAGAGCTCTCCGGCGGGACCAATATCGCGCGCTACGAAAATACGGAAAACGCGGCAAAGCCGGTAGCGACAGAGGCAAACAGATAAGCGGGGGAAGCCCGCCTAGCAGGGCAGAGGAAATGGAGGAGCGAGAAGGAGCGACGAAGAAAGTACGGCGGGCAGGCGGACGCGCGCGCGCGCGCGCGCGGCCGATTCCTTCCTCGGGATCCGCCGCCCCGTAATTCGATCGGCGCGACTCGCGTCCGACCTAACCGACTGAATATTGGAACAGCGTGGCGATGCTATCGGCGCGCGTACTCCGGACTTCGGATCGGAAACGGACATTGGCGAGCGCCGGCGCGGCGCAGAGGGGCGCGGGGAGCGCGTGATAGCTTGCGGATGCACGGCAACGATATATTGCTCTCTATCTTTCCCCTTTCTCCGTTCTCTCTTTTGTCTCCGCGCGGAAGCGGAGTAATTTCTGTCATCATCCGCGCCGCGACACTGGCTGTGCCCCACGCGGCGCGAAGGGCGCACCCGTCATCCGGTCATCGCGCCGCGGCTCAATCGTCGCGGTGTGACCTCCGCTTCCGCTCTCGTGCATGAGAAGGGCAGAGAAAAGGATCGGCGACTGTGCCGCCGCCGGCGGCGGCGAAACCGGCGCGCGTCTCGCGCACGAGACGTGATTGAACGCATGCAAAATGCAGCCACGCGTGCGGCGAGAGATTTTTCTGCCTGTCCTTTTTTCTGTTTTCCCCTGTCTGGATATCGGCGGACGCTTTAATTCCCGGCAGCGGCGATCAATTCCGCGGCGACGGCGGAGCAGCGAGGATGAATGGTACGGAGCAACGTAAAATATCTCGCGCGCGCGGAATAGGCAACCGATAGTCAAATATTGGGCCCGGAAGTAGCGCGGGAAGACGGATAGTCGTCGTCGGCGGCGTCGGCGGCGGCGGCGGCTGCAAGAAATCGATTGTCTCACGAAGATTAATCGCGCGCGCGCACATGCGCGCACGTCTACGGATCGTCGTGCCTGGCGACAGAATTGATCGGCGCTTTGATCGCCGGTCCTAATTGAAAAGGTACGGCCGGGCCGCCGCGGGTCAAACCGCGCGGAAATAATTATCCGAGGTTGAAAAGCGGCCACATATCCCGTCCCATCTGTCAAACCCTGATGAACCCTC